TGTGTGTTTTTATTAAAGTATGCCTCACACTTAGAGTGAAAAGTGGTGAGATGTGTGGTGGTTCTGAGATGCTGCAGGAGCTCATTCCATCCTTCGATGGCCCCTCAGAAAGATCTGAGTCCTGCATAAATGAGCTTTGCTCTTCCAGCAGAGCATTCTCTTATACCAGAGAAGAGCCATGGTTCTTGATCAGAACATCTAGCCCAGTATCCTGTCTTCTGACATTGTCCAGTGCCAGATGCTTCAGAGGGAATGAACATAATAGGGCACTTTCAAGCGATCCATCCCCTGTCATCTGCTCCCAGGTTCTGGCAGTTGGAGGTTTAGGAACACCCATAGCATGGGGTTGCATTCCTGATCATCTTAACTAATAGCCATTGATGAACTTATCTAATTCTTTTTTAACCCAGTTATACTTTTGGTTTTCAGAACATCCCATGGCAATGAGTTTCACAGGTTAACTGTGCATTGTGTGAAGAAGTACTTCCTTATGCTTGTCTTAAACTTGCTGTCTATTAATTTCATTGAGTGACCTGTAGTTCTTGTTATGTGATGGGGTAAAAAACACTTCCCTATTCACTTTCTCCACACCATTCATAATTTTATAGTCATCTACCATATTCCCCCTTAGTCATCTCTTTTCTAAACCAAACAGCCCCAGTTTTTTAAATCCCTCCTCATATGGAAGCTGTTCCGTACTTCTAATCCTTCTTGTTGCCCTTCTCTGTACTTTTCCCAATTTTAATATCTCTTTCGTAAAATGGGATGAACAAAGTATTCAAGGTGTGGGCGTACCATGGATTTATATAGTGGAATTATAATATTTTGTGTTTTAGTATCTGTGTCTTTCCTAATGGTTCCTAGCATTCTGTTAGCTTTTTTGACTGCAACTTCACATTGAGTAAATCTTTTCAGGGAACTATCCACAATGACTCCAAGACCTTTCTTGAGTTGTAACAGCAAACGTAGACACTGTCCATTTGTATGTGTAGTTACGATTATTTTTTCCAATGTGCATTACTTTGCACATATCAACATAGAATCTCATCTGATATTTTGTCATCCAGTCACCCCATTCAGCTTTAGACTTAACAATCTTGAGTAATTTTGTATCGTCTCCAGTTTTTGCCACCTCACTGCTTACCCTGTTTTCCAGATCATTTATAAATATGTTGAATGTCACAGGTCCAAGTACAGATCCTTAGGGGACCACTCTGTTTACCTCTCTCCATCGTGAAAAATTATTCCTACCCTTTGTTTCCTATCTTTTAAACAGTTACTGATCCATAAGAGGGCCTTCCCTCTTATCCCTTGACTGCTTAGTTTGTTTAAGGGCCTATGGTGAAGGACCCTGTCAAAGACTTTCTGAAAGTCCAAGTACACTATATCCACTGGATTACCCGTGTCCACATGCTTGTTGACAGCCTCTAAGAATTCTAATAGCTGGTGAGGCATGATTGCCCTTACAAAAGCTATGCTGACTCTTCCCCAACATATCATGTTTATCTGTGTCTCAGATAATTGTGTTCTTTCCTATAGTTTTGATCAATTTGCCTGGTAGTGAAGTTAGGCTTACCAGCCTGTAATTGTCAGGATCAGCGCTGGAGCCTTTTTAAAAAATTGGGATTACGTTAGCTACCCCGGTTCTGGGCCTTGTTCTTTTAGGTATCCCTGATCATTAAGCACCCTGACTGAGCTGCGGGGGAGGTAGAGAAGAAACTGGGGAAAGGACAAGGACAGGCTAGAGGGGTGTAACACATCTCGAGGTGCCTGGGATAGTGAGTCACCATGTTACCCCCCATCTTAGAGAGAGAGAGAGAGAGAGAGAGAGAGAGAGAGAGACTTGCTGGTGCTAAACTGGGTGTCAGCTCCCTGACACCACCAGCCAATTAGTCACCCAAATAATCTCCTCATGGCTCTGCCAGCTCTTACTTTGCCTTGCAGGTTAACATCTGGTGTACCCCAGTCTCCAAGCTTCTCTGAAGCATCTGTCTGTAATGTCCAGCCCCTATCACTGGACACTCACAGTAATTTGTGAGTCCCGAGAGAACAGCATACACACAGCTTGATTGGTACAACTCCAGATCATGGATATATATGGCTATAGTGAAACAATCCTACATTTATTATCAAAGATTAAGATTTAAGAAATAATGAGTAAGGATACAGAAATGGTTACACATATAATGAAAAAACATAAAATGCAGTCCTAGGTCTACACATATTAATGGTTACCTCTCCTATTTAATAAAGTAGATTTTGTCCCAAGAGTTCAGTCTTTGACAGAGCTTCTGGTTTTCAGTCATAACCAGGATCCAAGTTTTCATGAACCACCCATACCATTCAAGGGATTTCCTCCATGATTGGATAACAAAGTGCTTTACTTGTCCCCTAGTTAGAGCCCTTCTGTTGTTTGTTCTTCCATGTGCTGACCCCAGTGTTGACATCATATCCTCATGGTGACTTGGAATGCAAATGTAGCTCTTATTGTGTTTGACTTACAATGCTTAATTTACATCAAAGATAGGAGTAGGTGAATAGACATGCTTTTGTCTGGCAGAAAACCTGTTTATTACCTTTGCCTTGTTACATGGTTTAAAATATATTTTAGTAGGTACACATAACTTACACAAAAACAACAAGGAGTCCTTGTGGCACCTTAGAGACTAACAAATTTATTTGGGCATAAGCTTTCATTGGCTATAACCCACTTCAACTCCTCGTTGTTTTTGCTGATACAGACTAACACGGCTACCCCTCTATAACTTACACACCACCTATAGATACATCTCACAATGCTTATGATGACTAGTGTGTCACTGTGACTTTCATTTAATCCCTTAATGACATTATCTGGGGATAAATGATATCAAAGTGTCATGTTAGATGTAGTGAGTTTATCAGGTCTGATAGGAGTTGCTGTTATGGTGAGAAGTTCTGAGGGTTTCAAGGGTCCTGGGCAGAAGAGTCTATAACTCCTAGATAATATTCCCCTCGGAACCTGCAGTGGAACATAAGATTCCTGAGTCACAACATTACTTCCTTTGTTGCACAAGTTGAAGGTATGTAGTAAGTGAGGCAGGAGATTGCAGGAAGAGTAAGGATGGACTCATGGCTAAGGCAATTAAATGCCAGCCTGGAGAATTGGATTCTATCTCTGCCTGCCACAGATTTCCTATGTGATTTTGGATAAGTCACTTAAGCAAAACTTTTCACAGGTGGCCACAGTGTTCTTCATTTTATGGGTGGCCAACTTGAGACCCTGAGGTCTAATTTGCAGAAGTGCTGAGCACTCACAACTGCAATAGACCGTCCGTGAGAGCTGAGTTTTAAACATGTAAAGTGCTATATAGTGCTGTGTACTCTGAAAAAATCAGATCGCAAGTTGGGCAATCAAAATTATTGGACACTTTTGACCTTTAATTTCTTGGTATCGCAGCTCCCCATCTGTGAAATGGGGATACTCGCCCCTCACCTCACAGGGATGTTATGAAAATTAATTCATTAATTTGAAATGCACAGAAATTATAGTGATGAGTGCCGTAGAAAAGCCCAGGAGGAAATTTGTAAGGTCTGGGTCTTAATAATATGCAGTAAATAAGCCTGCAGTGGAATTTCGGTAGTGGTTTAGAGACAATCCACTATGTCAATGTGGGCAGCCACAAGCTATGACACACATTGTTGAGAACTGCAACTGAGGTCTTTGTGCCTTGAACATCCTTGATAAGAACACTGTGACTTGGCGTGACCAGATTGCGTATGCCAAATAAATAATAAAAAGGCACAGGGCCACATGTTGAACAATGAGGAGAAAACAAAATACTGAATAACAGCTAATAAAGTGAGTCACATCCATTCTGTGCACTAAAAGAAGCAGGAGACCTGTGGTCATTTAATTAAATACACAATCATAATGTATAAGCACAAGGAGTCAAATTCTTTCTGTTATTTTCTAACTTTTGAGTGCTCGATTTTCACAACGTGAACAGTCTTTTCATGTCAGTTGTTCTCTCCCCCCCCCCTTTAATGGATTTGGATATATTATAAATCAGACATTGGAAATGGTTGCTTGAGAAATACAATTGCATTTTCTGTTCAAACGAGAAGTCATGGATGCTACCTAGAAATGAATGTAATCTGGCTTCCTAGCAACTATGAATATTCAAAATAGTGAACATTGTTCCCCTGTGAAAGCTGATGAACTGTATGTGAATTGTTTTTTCTGTGACAGGGAGCTCATTAGAAATTTGATGTTATTAGCAGTTTTCCTCAAATTGCAAATCTCCATCATACCAGTATTATGGTAATGATGAAATTAAATTAAATTAGCATATCGTATACCATACTGCAAAAGTGGGAATACATTATAGTAATACAAGGCAACAGATAATTGCTATCTTAATAAGAATTTGTCTTCAGCAAAGATAAGTCAGATTGTTTCTTCTTTCTATCATCATGGACAAAATTCATTCTTATTAGTGAAATCCTCATATTTTGTAAATCCAGTCACAAGTTCCACTTGGTTATATGAAACTGTTTTCTCAAGCCTAAATATACTTCATTCTGCACTGATAGTCAATGTACTTGTCTAAAAGCTACCTACCTGCATATTAATGTGCACGTCACGTTTGTGCATGCTTTTGGCACCTGATCCATTGAATGAGCTTTGGATCAGGCCCCTGGTTACTCAAGGTGCTTATTGTGTATATTTCACACAAATCTTACCTTACCTTTCACACAAATCTTCACTCCATACTGGGTTCTCAAGCTTCCTTTTTTGCAAAAATCATATGAGTGTTAAACTGTATTCACTAAAATAAATGTTTTCCCTAGTATTTGATTTAAAAAAAAAACCGGAGGGTTTGGGGAAATAATTTGATTTGCAGATATGTTTTCTATTTGTGTCTAATATTTTCCAGGCCTAGTGAAATTATTGGGTTGCTAAATTTACATTCACATCCACTCACTACTTGTTTTGGTTTTTATCTCTCCCCTTGCAGTTCCTCCATGGTTTTTAAATCACCCTTCAAACCTCTATGCCTATGAAAGTATGGACATTGAGTTTGAATGTGCTGTCTCTGGTAAGCCTGTCCCTACCGTGGATTGGATCAAGAATGGAGAAGTGGTCATTCCTAGTGATTATTTTCAGATAGTGGTAATTATCTGACTTTTATCATTGCAAATTCAGTATTTGACTTAAAGTATGTTTTTATTTCTGATTTGTTCATTCTTTTCATAACCAGTGTTTTAACTAGTTTAGCAGAAGCAGGAAACATCTAAGCAAAACAGATCAAATCTCTCTTGCCTCCTGGTGGACAAAGGGGATATGGCACCAGAGTGCTCTATTACGGTCTGACCCAAAGCCCATTGAAGTCTTCCCACTGATTCCACTGGGATTTGGATCAGGCCCTTACTCTTTCGTTCAACAGTGGTTTAGATTTTTGTTAAGGATCTCCTCAAGCACAGAACATTGACCATAACTTCATGTCACATTTTCAATTAAATTATTATTATTTATCACTTGTTATTGATAAAGTGCCATCCGCGTCACGTATGATGCTTTACTACAGACAAAAAATGATGAATCCACGCTCTGAAGAAATTACACTTTCAGACATAAGTTAGTAAGGGATGACAAAGGGAAGGAAGTGAATGTGGGAGGATGAAGAATACAACAGTGGTCAATCATCAACTGTGCTTATTGTTAAATGCACACCTTCTTAGTCTGTCCTTTTAAAAATAGATATGTTTAAATTTGAAGATAGCGGATCAACAATTACAATGGAGGTTAGTGATACTTGACACATCTGCATGAGCAAAGGGGTAACACCTTTCTAGCTAGAGAAAACAGGCTGTGAGCCACAATGCAACAGTGGGGATAAACTCGGACAAAGGGGAAACAGGGCTTAATATCCTCAAGCCTCTGTTTTAAGGATACACTACTGTACACATTTTAAGTAATCATAAGTGAGAAAGGTAGATATCTTAAAAGGGAGCTAACAAATGCCATCTGGAATTCACAGACGTGTGCAGATCTTGCAGTTTCTTAGCATTTTCTTCCCCTGTGTAATTTCATTTGGCGTTAAAAGTGAAACAGATATTTCTGCCACAGGTATGACATTCAGCTGGCATCCCTCCCTACATTTTTTTCAAATCTGTTTTAGAACATATTTGCAGAACTTGATCTTTCAGTGACGATCCATCAGTGTCTTCAAATGCAAAGTATTTTCACCACAGTTAAATTAATAATGATAATGGTCATTTGACATGTATACAATTTTGTCGCCAAAGCACATAATTGATAGTGTGATATCATGTCACATTCCCATCTTTTATTACACAAATAGCATTATATGTGAGGCATTAAAAGTTAAACATCAATGGTGGAATTTTCAAAAGCATTGGCCTAACTACTCTCATGAAAGTCAACGAGAGTTTTATCATTGATTTCAATGGGAGCAGAGTTGAGACCCTGCAGAGTGCTTCGGAAAATCCCATCCCTAATATGTCTATCTTTTGTTACAGCATGATAAAAATATCCACAGGCCATGAGATAATATTTTTCTTTTGATGACTTTGGCATAAGAAGGTTAGCATGTCTCATTCATATAGATCAGATTGCAATATTTAGTACCAATTTCCTAGTGAATGCACATTCTAATCAATAAAATGGACTACGTTCCTGTAAATTAAACATCTTCCAATGAATAAAGGTTGGTTTTTACCATATTTTTCTTGTGGAGAAGATTTACTCAGTTATATGGAATCACAAGTTCGTGTTACTTTATGCAGCATCACTGTTTGTTATGAGGATCAGACAGCAATAAATGTACTTGCCAAAGAATGGAAAGTCCCTTTATTATTATTATAATGGGGAGGGGAATTATCCTTTCAATTTTTATTTCCTGAAGAAATATTTATAGCAAGGGAATCTCTCTTGCAGCCTTTTCTTATGCAAAGAATTGTCCCTTAGAAGCCAACATTTGCCACGTCACTTAATTCTGCTTGTGATAGCAGTAGCTAAAACTGAAATCCTGCGCACCAGCAGCACACATTGAGTAACTCTTCTGTTCTTTGGGTCTCATGTCATGATGTAGGATCTGACCTTCAGAATGCTGTTTGTACACAAGGTACAAAAGTTGGAAGTTCTTTTATATCTCCCCTGCTGCAAAGAGCCAACACAAAGCCCTATTCACCACTCAAGTCCCACTCTAGCTTTTAATATGGGGTTTAACTGTTGCATAGGGTGTTGGGCTAGCCCTCCTCTGTACCCGAGTGAATAAGGGCACAAGCACCATCCTTGTAACAGAGTGGTGCAAAGAGAACAAAAGGAATCAGTTGATTCCAATGAACGTGCATTTTATTACAATCCACTGGAGTCAAAGACAATATGAACGGAGGCTGAGGTTTCCTAATACTCTCTGCTCTTGTTTCACAAACAAAATATTGTTGAAGCTCCTTAACAAGTGATGTTCAGTTTGACAGTTTTGTCTAATTATTTCCCTCCCCTTCCCCTCTCCCCTCTTTGTCTCTCTAGGGTGGCAGCAACTTGCGGATTCTGGGCCTCGTAAAGTCAGATGAAGGTTTTTACCAGTGTGTAGCTGAAAATGATGCTGGGAATGCACAGACCAGTGCACAGCTAATCATCCCTGAGCCGGGTAAGATACAAAGGACACAGAGAATCATATCAGCGATTAATACAATTAGCATAAATCCTAGTTGGGCACCTACTATTCCCCCCTTCTCCCCCCCCCCCCGCCTTCATACTCAGGCATGTTAAAAAATATTTAGCTAGCTGGATGGCTTGACTTATAACAGTGTGTTCCTTCTTAGCACTAGGGGAGACGCAGGTCTGTCTTGGTGTAACCTTGAGACTCTCTGTCACTGGGACAATTACAGATGCTAGGTGCATCCCAGAAGTGACACTGGAGGTCAGAATCTCAGCATGAAAAATCAAAGACGGTGTCTTCCCTTTCAACCACTGGGTTCATCTTGCTGAAATATGAGAAGAGGCTGGGGATTATAAAGGGCCAGGGGGAGAGTGTGTGTGTGGGGGTGGGAGATGGAAGAAACAGTCCATACGGAATGGAGAATAAAATACTGTATGGCTCCACATTGAACACTCAGAATATTTGTCATAGGGGAAAAGGTAGGTGAAATTTAGCACTGTGATGGCGGGGGTAGCAAAGAGTCCTGATTGAAAGGCTGGTGTCTCTTATACATCAAGGGAACAAAGGTGTGTTTCTGTGGCACAGAAATGAATAGTTTCACAAGAATTATAAACTGTCCTTTCTTGTGACAATACTGGTGGGGTTTGTTTCTTTATGGAATATTAAACTGTAAATACATAAAAACGATGTATTCATTTTAAACCAGATAAGGTAAAACATTTATAAATGCCTTTAAGGTGCTTTCTGTGTTTTATAGGATAGTCGTTTACTTGAAGTGGGTTCTGCTGTATTTGTTAATTATGTAGAATTGTGGAATATTCAGAACTATAGGCTACATCTACACTTGGAGCTAGGGATGTGATTCCCAGCCCTGTAGAAATACTTGCGCTAGCTCTCACTGAGCTAGTGTGCTAAAAATAGCAGTGTAGCTGCGGTAGTACGACAAGTGATGAGGAGTGTCATGGGCTAGACACCTCCAGTACAAACCCACCTGGACCCCATAGGTACATATTTGGGGTGGCTGCCCATGCGGTCATAACTATGCCACTATTTTTAGTATGCTGGCTCAATGAGAGCTAGCACAGGTATGTCTTTGCGAGCCGGGAATCACCACCCTAGCTTGTAGCGTAGATGCAGCCATAGTTCGTTCACACCCTGACCTGGACTGGAAAAAGTAGAAAATTGGTAGTTCATAGTTGTTGATAGATTTTAAAACCAGAAGGGACCACTTTGATCATCTTGTTTGACCTGTTTTATAGCCCATGCTATAGAATTTGGTTTGAAAAGTGTGCACAGAATTATTTTAAAATTGTTAAGCTTTACTTAAACTCTGCCATTATTTGAAAAAACAGCGTTCTCCAGTAATGGCCCATAACTTCAGTAACACACCCACCCACTGTAGTGTTTTAGACTAGTAATATGGAACACTCTAATAACATTGTAATGTGTTGTTAAAGACCATTGATTTCCTGAAAGGCTTTGATGCTGCAAGCCTTTGTCCTGTGGGCAGTAATATGCCAGGTAGATGCACTGTAATGCAAATGCAAGCGGTAACTCCAGGTGGGCACAACCAAGGTTAACTGCTAGGTCCAATGCTCCTCACTGAGTAGTTGTAAGTCTCCAGTCCCTGGCATAGCATTTCCCTTACAACAAGTACACACGGTAAACAGAAAAGGGAACAGGACCAATGTCCTTTCTCTATGTTTGTTCCTGAGTACAGAATGAATGACTGCCTGAGCTCAAATTTTAAACCTCTTAGCAGTTTGTCACTCCCATTCCCTCTCCCTTGCTATCCAATCCCTCCTTCATTCACTCATTCTTTCTCCGACCAACCCATGTCCAAAATGAAACACCAGCAGCATCTGGGGAAGGCATGGATCACTTCCCAGCCCGCACCCCGAGCCAGCTTCCTTGTGCAATAATCCCCCACTGTGAACTGTGCCTGCTACCAGGGGATGCAGCTACGCAATGACATTGCTTAATGGGAACCCTGGACAGCAGCACGATTTTCATCCTCATTGTGCTAATGAGACGCTTCACTGTGCAACTCTCCTCTTAGACCTGACTCATGCTATTAATAGACTGGATGTCTGCACAGCAGGATCAGGCTACCCTTGTGCTCCCTGTATGGCTCATCACTTTTTACTTGGCCTTTATGCGCTCAGCACTCTGCACCCGGACAGTGCAGAATCAAGCCAGATGAGTATTTCTCCCCTTCTGTGCAGAGTCACCAATGGCTAGAAAAGGTGCTACCTTTCCTTTGGGGGAAACATGAACATAAGAAGGTGCTTAAAGAAAAAACCTTGGCACAGTAACTATACATAGTACATAACCCCACTGATATTTAAGATGGGCAGCTGGGATCAGAACGATCCTAAAAATAAGTTCATCCCGATTAAACATCATAATGGGAGGAAAAGAGGTTTTTTTGTGGGGGGAAGGGTTTGATTTTTTTTTAAAGCTGAATCTTGCATTTAGCTCATGCTTCTGGAATATATTTAGACAGGTGCAACCCTGGAGAAAAGGGGCCATCGTGAACTGTAATGTAGTTTTATTTCTCAATAGGACCAGTCTAAAGGAAATGGGATAATTCATTACTGTTTCCACGTAGATGTTCAAATGCTGTCAGTAAATTCTGTACTTTTGGTCAGTGTTTATTATGTTTGGCATTGGATTAGAATGAAAGTAAAAGAAAATGAAGACAAAATCCTAAAGAGCTACGGGATACTATTGTAACTGTCTCCATTTCCCTTTATAAATGATGGATTACTTTTTCCTGGCTATTTAATCAGATCTTCAAACAATGCCACTCCAATTCCTCTGAGATGTTGAGAAGGCCAGCATGCACAGATGGCAGAGAAGCCAGCTATAAATACAAATTAAGTGCTGGGGCCGACCATGGTGGGAAGTACATAGCCCTCTCTGTTTAAATTTAGTCAATATACGGTCACCATATCTTTCACACTCAGTATGAGCTCTGCACTGCACAGCTGTTCAGTTTTGGCCTGTCCACAGACCTCAAACTAAGGGTTACCCCTAGCAACCATGACAATCTGCTTCTTGCTAAGGCATAGACAATGACCTGTTAAATCCAGTATTCTCGGTTGGTGAGTATTTACGAGAGCCTAATGAAGTTTCAATATAGTCTTTTATAAAATAGTTATATACCCCCTTTTGTAACCATTAATTTTGAGGGAACAGTGTCCAAGACATGTAAAAGAGCTAACAGAGTTTTCTTTTTCTGATAGCCAGGGTCAGGCTTATCAAAAAGCCCATTAGATAAATTAATACTCTTTTTATTCCCTAAAGTAACATTATGGGGAAAATAAATAGCTGACCATTTTTCCTCCATGAGATTTGTAAAATCATGGGTACTGGCATTTTAGTTAGTTGCTAATATCCTTGGCCAGCCTATGAACTTAAAATTAGGAGTGTCATCTATTCAATGGCTGATACATAGTCTATTGGAGATATCCAGTATAGTGTCTAGTAGGGGGTAAATCCGAAAAGCTTATAATTCTTTTCTGTCTCTAGTTACTATGATCCTGCTCTGATACCAAATCTTGCTGTTGTCATTACACAAACATGCAGCTTGTTCATCTGATTCTGACCTGACTGAACAGCAGTTACTCCTGGTTTCCAGGAATAACGCCACCCATGTCAACTATAAAACCAGTGTGAGATCTGATTCAGACCCATAAATTATGTTCAGTGTAAATACTATGGTATGCTGAGTTGAAACTAGACAACACTGAAATGAGTAATGCAAGCTAATGGGTAGTGAGTTTACACAGATTATAACCTTTACTTCTAGAATTCCAGATGGGTTATAAAATGTTAAATGCTATTTAAATATATATTGGTTAGACATTGGGGAGCAAGGGAGCCTCCTGGGAAAATTAACTGAAATTATAGCTTTTAGCTGAGATTATAGTTATGGAGGCATTGTATTTAACATTATGTTATGAACTGTATGAGATAGAAATATGATATATGCATAGTCTATAATACATGGATTACTCAACAAATTGAAGTCTAGGACTTTGGACTATAGGATACTTTGGGAAAATAAATTTTGGTTTAGGGTTCTTTTTCTTTCATTTCATCATCTTTGAAATACATATTGGAGAAATTGCTCTTCTTTCCATAATGAAAGTGGACCTTCTATAATCTGTAGGATCTGCAGCTAGAGGTTTGCTAGAATAAAGTCCCCTGTATGTACTTCATAAAGAGAACAGGATGGTTAATAATGAAGTTTTTGTTAGTGAATTGTTTATTTTTAGAACTTAAAAAACATTATTTGTACGTCTAAAAAATGAAACATGATGGACATGCATAACTGCAGATATGATGGACATGATCCCAGAGGAAAATTCTCCCCAAAGAACTTGCAAACAATTATTTTCATACTTTCACTCAGATTGATCCTTCAAATAGCTTGGCGGGGGAGGGGAGGAAGCAGTGGGAGGAGAATTATTTACTCCATAGTGTGCAAGAACAGATAAAGAAACTAGCCAATATAATCCTGAAATAATCAACTCACATAAATGGATAATTGTCAACCATGTTTCTTTAATAAATTCCTCGCTAGCCAAATTTTAACTTAAGGATATACACTTTACCATGGATGCATGAGAATATTATTTACCATTGGGAGCTCCAGGCATTATAAGAAGTAGCTAACTTGAAAACAGAAAGATAAAGAAAATCATCTGAGACATAAAATAACTAGACAACAGGAAAGTATACGGGCTATTTATGTTACACAGGGAGGATATACTGTACTCGAAATATTTTAATAATCAGTTATTGTGTGTCCATTCACTGCTACAGGAAATGGGAGAGGCAGTTTCAAACTACAGACTATGGAGCATTGAGGGTTATAAAGAAAACTTTTGGCAAGCTTTACTTCAATTTCACAATTTCAGATGTTTATATCTGAAATGTTGTAACCGTGGGGGTCCTGACGCAAAACGGGATCATGGGGG